TTGTAGTTATAAGCCTTCACATTTATTCTACTAATTGCCCATAATACCTACTATAAATCTGGATTCTTGAAGTACTCTATTTTTTTGCTAAGATTTGCTTCTGCTTTCTACCCTTAGGTGTATGATTGTTCCTTAATAGATATTCCTATATAAGCTTTGCTGCATCAGATGTAAACCTTATTGTTCTTGATTTTATGTTAGATTATGAATACTCTCTCTGGGGCTTGCCTGAGGGTAGCACTGAGAGGACAAGAATTAAATCTGAAGTCCATGCTAGGAGTGCACTTAGGCTTCAAGAACTTTGTTTTAAAAATGGTGGAATATATATCAAGCTCGGTCAACATATTAGTCAGCTGGTATGTTACTCTTGTGCTGTTTTTTAAAATAATTTTTTTTGCATCAGCATTTCAAATTCCAATTTTGATCTTCTTCAGGAATACTTGGTGCCTGCTGAGTATGTCCAGATCATGAGAGATTCAATGTTGAATAGGTGTCCGGTTTCATCATACGATCAAGTTCGAGAAGTTGTCAAGAATGAGCTTGGAGGGGCTCCAGATGAAGTGAGTAGATGTCATTCTTTCAAATAGCTCTTGAAGTCGTATAGTTATTCCAGATATACCAAAAGATTTACTTGATCTTAGATCTATGATGTAAATAATTATTCCCTAAATCACCAATTTATTTGATCATTCAAATGATTAACTCAGGATACATTTACAGATTTTTGCCGAATTTGATCCTGTGCCCATTGCAAGTGCTTCTCTGGCGCAGGTTCACATTGCCCGCACTCATGAGGGAGAAAAAGTGGCTGTAAAGGTAGGAGAGACCTACTCATTTGTTGATAATTCAATAGGTGATCTGGATTTTCCTACTGAAATAATTTGATCTACTTCAGGTTCAGCATACTCACATGACAAACACTGCAGCTGCAGATTATGCGACTGTGGAGTTAATTGTAAACACATTGCATCGGCTCTTTCCTTCTTTTGATTACAGGTTTAAAATGATTCTTTCCAGTACATTTCTGTTATATGCTCTGAGAGAGCTGATAATTTTGGAGTCACATAGCATATAAACTATATTAGTAGTATCAGAAACTCAATTAAAACTTCTGAAGATAATGTCTTGCCAATTTTACATGTATTCAAATAAAAAAGAAATCTTGAAGTTCTTAAATTTTCGCACAGGTGGTTGATTGATGAAATACAGGAAAGTCTACCGAAGGTTTGTTCCTTAGCACATTTTTTTTTTTAATTTTTTCCCTTTCTTGTTAATGTCTTACTGCCAGTTGATTGTGTAGAAGGATCTATTTAGCCTATTCATGTTTTTTTTTGGGGAAATTTGACTCCCTTATTTGATGAGAATGTAATACAGCTTCATTATTGCTTGAGATCCTCTCGGTGCTTGTTCAATCTATTTACATTAACTGGATTTTGAAAAAAGTATTCGTACTGTCAAAGTTGTCTAAAGTATCCAAATTATTTCCAACAACATGCTAAAGCTGCCTCTAAAGTTTTGACTAAGTCGAGGTGATCCATATTTTATCACCTTTAGTATTTCTTTGGCTCAATTTACTTGAAAATCATTTTTTCCTCGAACTTTTTTTCAACCACATATTACCTTAATAAAGTAATTTTGCACGTGGACCCACAACTTTGCCCTATTTTTTAATCAAACATTCTCTAAAAAGTGTTTTTTCACTTGAAATAATCTCTCCAAAACAAACACTTAGCTTAATGGACATTTCATGTGTATTATGTTTTTGATTTAGTAAGAATTCTGCAAACCATCAAGGTGCTTTACCAACTGGTGTTTCCTCAGTGATAAGAAAATAATTGACGGCATCTTAAGATCTATCAAATTGCAGATTTATTTTGTGTTTTTTAGAAATGAACGAGGAAATTCCTAGTGGGTGTTTACCTTTCAAAAAATAAAAAATAAATAAAAATTTAACATGTATTTCAAGTTTCAAACAGCATACTACAAAGGGAAATAATCTTACATTAAAAATTAAAACAGATCAATATTCTTCATATGCTTGCATCAGAATCTGTTTCATCTTCATCAGTTGGACGTTAAAAACTGCTGTGCATATGAAGCTTCTTTTTCTTTTACCTTGCAGTCTGTTCTTGGTTTTCAAACCATTCCTGTTATAAGGTTTAAAAATATAATTAGTCCCTTTTTATTTTGATCATAATTCCTCCTCTGTTCTAAGCTAGATTACAATTTCTGGCATGATTCCTTCAGCAACTTTAATCCTATCAATGGGTAATTTTGTTGTAACATGTATTTGCTCAAGTTTTTACTTTTCCTTTCATTTTTGTTTTCGATTTCCAGCTTCCAAGATACAAAACATGATATTTGATTAAAATGTCCCTTTACATGCACTCTACTGAGATATTGTCCTTGTATGCAATCATGTACCTTTAATGTATTATCTGGGCTATGTGAAATTCCTTTGTTTCCTCCTGTTGGAGCAAACTTTTGATAAGTTATAATGATGTTTTCAGGAGTTAAATTTCTTGTTTGAGGCCAAGAACAGCGTAAAATGTATGGATAACTTTCAGAGGTTCTCTCCTCATATTGCAGAGTATGTTTATGCCCCCAAAGTACATTGGAACTTGAGTACCTCAAAATTGTTGGTGATGGAATTTATTGATGGCCCACAAGTAAATGACTTAAAGACCATTCAGAAGCTTGGAATTCAGCCTAATGACGTTGCAAAATTAGTAAGTTCATGGGTGTCTCCTTTCAAATTCAGCCAAGTGGTATCATAATCTATTGAGGGAAAAAATTTCTTTCGATAATTAGTGATCCTTATCCGTAGCTGTTAACCTTTCGCTCCCACATTAATTCCTTTTCAATAGATCATCTAGACCATTATAGTATTAATGGACCTCCGTTGTACATGGTTATTTATCGGATTGTAGGACTAAGGTATTAATAGCTCTCCATTATGCAGTTATTTAGTAGAATATGCTCTAGTATTCTCACTCAATTCTAATAAGATGCTTTGTTCTATGCAGTTAAGTCAAGCATTTGCTGAAATGATGTTTAAACATGGTTTTGTGCACTGTGATCCACATGCTGCCAATGTGCTAGTTCGCCCATTACCTTCTGGCCGTAGGGGGATTTTTGGTAAGGCATTATCCATTGATTTTCATTTTGGAATTTTCCTTTTGTAAACTGCATTTCCTTCCTTTTGTTTTATTTTTATCTACTATCTTGTGCATTGAGCCCCTTGAATTTGCAGTTGGGGATATTTAGCTCCTATTTGGGTCCATCGTTGAAAATATATTTTTTTCATTCTTATTTTCAACCACACATTTTTTAATTAAATAATATTACATGTAAACCCAAAACTTTTCCTTATTTTTTAACCCACACATTCACCAAAAAATCACTATATCAAAACACATTTTCCTCCAAAATTTATTTTTAATGGAGCCCAAACAGAGGCTTAGTAGCATGTCCTTTTCCGTGCTCAAATTTCATCACTGCAGTTGAGGAAGAATATATCATTGTTACACCTTGTTTCTTCGTAAGTCCAATGTTCTCCATTCTCCAAATTGCATGTGCAGTTATTTTATGTTATTGTGCATTTGTGGGGACGGGTGTGCCCTGCACTATGGGGGCATAGCCCTGTAGGATTTCATATTTATGCTTGTACAGAGCCAGAAACAAAGCTAATTCCTTATGTGGATCAGCCAAGGCCCAGACAAAGTCCTTTACTCGTTGTTAAGATGCTTACAAGTAGACACTGCAAGTTCTATGGCAGATCAAACACGAGTTTTCAAGAATAATAAAAAGAAGAGAAATTAACATGTCAGAAGAATTTGTAGAACTTGGATATCTCAAACCTGGATGATATCCAAAGGAAACAAAGAAATACCCTAATTTAGAACTATATATCACCTAAGAAAACCTTTTTTGGACAGAAGAAGTTGATTCTGACACCTTTTCAAGTTTAATGAGATGATTTTTTAAATAGAGAACGGGTGCCTTTGTTACATGATTAGACCTCTAGCATATGAAACTAAAAGTTTTCTTTTGATTACCACCCCTGCGCATTTACATGCTTTTGACTTGATTTTGGTTTTTCTCTTAACGCGGTTGCATGTGTAGTAGTGCTAAATTTGACAGGGGTATGTATACCTTGATACTGTGCAGGAAAGAAAAAACCACAATTGATACTGCTAGACCATGGTCTATACAAAGATCTTGATGTTTCGACCAGAATCAGCTATGCATCATTATGGAAGGTGCATATTTTTCCAGAAATTTGTGACCTTTGGTGTTTCTCACTATGAAATCTCACTGGTAATATGATATCCTGGCATTAATGACAGGGATTGATATTTTCAGATGCCAATGCAATTAAGGAAAATAGTGTGAAATTAGGTGCTGGAGATGATCTTTATGCATTGTTTGCTGGAATTCTTACAATGAGACCGTGGAACAAAGTTATTGATCCTTCCATTGATCATCTAGTTGTCCGAGGCACCGATGGTGATCGTTCAGAACTCCAGGTGACTACATGGAAATATATGGCCCTCTATTATCATAGCTTTCTTAGTTTTCATGGTTCTATCTTCCAGTTTAGAAGGATTAATTTGATTTACTATGTTTGCTATAGTAAAAGACACATTTTCTTCAGTTTCTGTTACCTATAAATTTCCTTAAGAGTAAAATTTTCAAAAGAAGCAAAATGCTATATTTTAAAGTGTAATTCATGTAGCTGTGAAGGACACTGTATTGTAAATTTTGAGATTTAGCTGTCTATGTTCATTAGGGTAAGGTTGAGTACTTAAGTTTAATTTATTACAGTAACCTTTTTTTGTTTTGGGTTTGCAGATGTATGCTTCACAATATTTTTCTCAAATCACAGAGCTTCTAAGGAGACTCCCCCGTGTTATTCTTCTAATGCTCAAAACAAATGATTGCTTGCGTGCAGTTAATCAATCACTGGTATGAAATTGTTTTAAATTCTCATGCACACGATTTACAAAATTTGAATGTTCTAAGAACAATATTTGAGATATTTTGACCTCGTATTCTGAATTCTATATGATTGTTTCTGTTAGTTGTATGACGCTGAAAATCACCTTGTGTTCCATATAGGGTTAACGTTGCATTAATTTGTTGCTGTGATTTGTTAATATGTTATTATGAAGGGTTTCTATTTCTCAATCTTGCTGAATGGATGTTGTCGATCACGATGCTCAGTTTAAGTTTAGTTTCTCTTTACTTGCATTTACCAAACAAAGCTGCTATAGGTACACTTTGGTGTACATCATGGGTTACTTTCCTCCAAGTGCCATCATCTAAGCCTTTGATTTTCCCCCTACTTTTCAAACCATTGCACAGATTTGCCCACATAGGGGGAAATGTCATCCCAAAGTGTACATCTAGCATTATTCTTGACCAAATTATTTTTCAAAATTTTAGGAAAAGTTAACATGTTTGTTTTTAGCTCTGGTTCAAGGTGGGGTAATGGGAGAAGATGCATTTTCTCTAACAGGGAAAGTTTACTTTTCACTCTGAATCATTATTTAGCAAGGGAAACTGAATGGGGAATGGATAGGGAGAGGGGAAAGAAATCAAAGAATTGACGCGAATAGAAAGAAAAATGTATTTTATTTGGACTATGCGGCCATTCCAATTTTTCTTAGGCTAAAAACTACAATAGAGGATAGCTTAAGTCTTTTAAGTAGTAGTTCGTTCCTTCTGCCTAATTTGGGGGAGGAAGAAAGTAGTTCATGCCAATCATCAAATAAGGTTTTCTTCATCATTTACTTGGGAGTTGTAGCCACTTTTCCTCTTTTCCAAACACAGCTGCAGTTTTGAGTCTGTAGAATCAATAAAATCAAATGAATTTGTTTGTTATGCACATGTTTTTTCTTCTTTCTAAAGTTTGACTCCATAAAATTCAGCTCAGATTCTATCTTGACTCCATACCATATAAATTCAGCTCTTTATCTATCTCGAGCATGTATGTTATTTTGCATTCCCTTGCATTATTTTTTCCTACTTTATTGATATTTAAGCAGTGTGCTACACAACGAAGAATTCAAAGAAATTACACCTTTTTTACGTTCTTAACAAACATCACTTTGTTTCTTGAATAGATGCAAGGATCTTCTCATGAGACATTTTTGATCGTTGGAAGAGTCTCTTCTGAAGCCGTAGTTGAGTCAAAATTGTTACAGAACAGGTCTTTCCTTTCGCGGGTGCTCATTTGTTTGGAAGAATTTCGACTAGAAGCTCGGTTATTTGTAATGCAGATTGCATTTTGGCTTTTGAAACTCCAAAAAGCTTTGATGTCGTGAGACCGATGAGACCTGAGCAGCCGTCCCATAGATCGAATCATTTTAGGAAAACCAAAATTATTTTTCGGGTGTAGAGTATTTTTTTTGTTTATAGTATCTCTTTCAGTTTTGACATTGAGCCCCCATTGTTTGAGGGAGTTCAAGAGGCTGTATTCATTTCCTTCAATTGTATGAATAAATACATTATTGCACTCGCTGATGCTTACTGTTGTAAAGCCCCCAATTGGGGCAATATAGAATAATTTATTGTTATAAAACATCAATTGAAATGTTGTATGCGTGTATTTAGACAATCTGTTAAGCCCTTATTTAACAACCATTAGCGTACAGAATATTTCATTTTGTGAATGTGAATAAAAATAAGTATGTAACAAAAAAAAAAAAAAATTAGTTTGAATATAATGATCGTCAAATGAAGTCTAAATCAAAACATTATTTTTCTTGGAATCAAAAGCAGCATGGCCAAAAAGAATAAAAGATCTTATACGCTTCCTAACTTTTTCTTTTCTATTGGAAAAGCATCCTAAGATATTTTTGCTTAACATTTACTAACCGCACTACTCAATAAAGCGCGTGGATTAATAACAGCTTCTTGTTCTTCTTCCAACCAGCCGCCATATAAAAAGAACAATTTTGTAGAGTTGGTCCTTAACATATATTTTTTGACATCATAGTCCCCATCCTATTAAATAAAGTACAATATTTTTGTTTTTTGGTATTTAATTTTAAAATTATTTTATTGGAAAACATAAAATTACAATTTTATCCTTTATCCTTTGTTTGAGTCCCTTTTTTTTAAAAAAAATACATTTTTAAACAGTGTTTTGACCCAATTTTAATTACATTATTCAATAAAAATGATATTATACACAAATTCAAAAAATATTTCTTTATTTTTTAATTACATATTTTTCATCAGTACGCCATTTAAAAATATATTTTTTAGACAAAAATGAGGCTCAAACAAGCTTTTAAATTTTGGTCAAAATGTGGTCAAATTAAATTTTTGGGTTGACTAAAGTCAAATTTACAGATTTCATCCACATATCCTCTAACTGTAATCAAGATAAAATGTTTGGGGACTGTGCGTCCAAAAATAAAAAAATTTAAGACTACAGTTGCAATTCTCCCTTTAATTCACGATCCCTCACGCTCCGGGAGAGTTGCGTAGCAACCCATAGTCGCGACTTACTCGATCTGTTTTGACCAAAAATATCTCAAACCATCTATCTACAACACATTAAACCGCCAGATTCTGCCTCTGAATCGATCATGGAAAATCCCGACAACCGCTACTCCCACCACCGCCCTAACTCGCCCAAATCCACTTCTCTCACAACGAACCCATTGTTGTCCGATTTCGAAGGAGCAGCAGAGGGTCAGGAAAATTTCATCTGGGCCGCTTTCACAGAAAATTTCCAGGAAGTTCAATCGGTGTTGGACCGAAACCGGGTTCTTATCCAGCAAGTCAACGAGAATCACCAGTCGAAAATCCATGACAATATGGTCAAAAATGTTGCTTTAATACAGGAAATTAATGGGAATATTTCCAAAGTAGTTTCACTTTATTCCAATCTTTCGGCTAATTTTTCGAATGTGTTTAATCAGCCCAACGCTGCTGCAACTGATTCCAAGAGCAATACTGAGGAAAACCAGTAACTTGGTATTCACTCATTCGATCTTCAATTCTGTCTTGTCTTTAACATTTCATTTATCGAATAAATGATATTTTTATTCATATTTTATAGTTATATAATCTTCATTAGTTAAGAGTAATTAAATATCTTAAATCATGGATATAATGATTAGTTGTACAATTTTTATGTTATCTAAGTTTATTCGTCTATAATTAGTGAAGAGTTGGACACTTTTGATACGGTTCTATTGTCGTCTATCCCGCAATTTGGTGAATGCTAATGCATAAATGTTGGTTGATCCTGTATTCAATTATAGTTAGTTCTATGCTTCAGAACATCCTTTCCTATTTGATCCTTGGTCGTTTGTTTGAATCCTATTTGGGGAGATTTGATTCATTCTAAATTAACGAATTCAGAATAAAGGGGCTCCCTTTAACTGTTAAGAGCAGGCAACTTGTTCTCTGTCTATGTTTCTTTGTATTGACTGTTGAAGAAGTGACTTTTGGATGGAGACTTTGGTGCATGATGAACTAGGGATACTAATGAGTGATACTAGTTTGTAAGTTTGAACTAGGGATACTAATGAGTGAGATCAATGCATGATCAACACTTGGGTACTTCGAAATTTATGGTAAATGAATTCTTGTAATCATGACATGGAATCTATCACCCTCTATTTAGGGACGAATATCCACTTTATGTATTTTTCAGTGAAAGGTTGAAGCTGAACTTAGCGATTTAGTAAAGCGTTTTGTTTAATTATATTTGTGACATGATCTTTGGAATACCAGTAAGGTAAAGGGTTCAAGAAAGGGTGTTATAATTTGAGGGCAAGATACTCATTTAGCATTTGACTCCATTTATGTATGTTCAATAGGGGAATCACATTTGATGGTTGGATTTGAGGATTTAGTTGTTTCAATTACTAATTCAATAGCTTCATTAATTTCATATAACGTACTAGTTTAATCTGATACATTTAAGTAGAATGAGTTGATATTAATTATTTTCGTGTGTCGAGAGAAAGGGAAAGAGAAGAGAGCCTTCCTGAACAATGCCCAAGTTTTTCTTCTTTCATTGTCTTGTTGCATTCTATGCTGTCTTTCTTTGACTAGAATACTGAGTAACATGAAGGATTCAAAGAAAGAACAATTTACTATGAAGATAAAGAGGAAAGCACACGTTAAAAATAATATGAATAAAACAATGAATGTTTATATTGATTCTTTTTTAGGAAAAAAAAGGGGTCTTTTCATCCATTTAGATTTAGATTATTTAAAAAAAAAAAAAAACAAGATTTTATAGGGTAGCAGTGCATAGCAAGAATCCTCTACTCCCTGTTAGACAGCATTGCTTTAGGTGGGAAGTGAAGTGAATGAGCTCAATTGCTCTCCTTTACACGTTTCCTTTTTGTTCATGCTCATGTTGCATGTGATAATGTGTCATTGGGGCTTTGCTCTCCTCTTATCCTTCATTAAAGGTTTTGGTTTTGATTGACTTCCTTGTTCTTTTCCAATTGATTTAGAAAGCAGAGGTTATAAATTTCTTCACTTCAATCTGTTTCTACCCCTGATATGAGAGAAAATTTGTAATCCCTATTTAGACTTTTGGGCCTTTCATCTTTCTAAATCAAGACTCAACTGAACTCGTCATTCCAACTACCAGCGAGGAGCACCTCACCATGCTATCGCACTTCACATACGTGGCTGCATGTATCTTATCTTGTAAGAATCAAATAAAAGTAATTTTCTGCAAGGGATTAACTGAGTCAAGCTACATGTATAGGGAAAATTTCACGGATGTTTTACAGACAACACTCAATAGTGGGGTGGGTGGTTTATTTTTTGCAATAAAATATTCACATGGGGCCCATTTCCACGTGAGAGCCTGTAAAACTTCTGTGGATTTTTTCTTCTGTACACAGGAAATAATCCTTCATCTTAGCCGAGTAGTTTTGCCAATTTTGAAGATTTATGGTGCACTATATTTTGATACGATCTAATGCAAATGTATTACGATTTATGTAATAAATACAGGCACTATTAGGGATCGAAATAATGAGGGAAAATATCGAGAAAATTTCAGACGCTTTCTAAAGAAATACACTGGTGTCGATCTCTCTGCTTTCACTGATGCGATTGGACATGAAACAATGACGACCTTCTGCTTACATTGTTTGCATTTGTAGTAAACCCAATGTCTCGATGTTCTAAAAAAGCACATATCGACTAGCCTCTTGTTCTGCTCAAGTACTTTGGGTGCTCAATATGCTGAAGGAACTTGTGTCCAGCTGCCTCAACACCCCATCATTCTTTGTGACAATATTGGAAATATATATCTTTGTGTCAATTCAGTGTTCCATTCCCGCAAGAAACATAGAGCGATTGACATTTGCTGTTTCCTACATCTAGTCCAAGGATCAACTGGCCAATGCTCTTACAAATCTACTTTCGTCTGTCCACATAACTATTGTAACCTCAAAAAAATAAATCAAATTGTATCACGGACATATTAGAATTCTTTTTACCTTATCATATAAAATACATTAGTTTAGATTACTGATTTATCTTATCCTTAAATTCCATGGAAAAACTCATCGAAATCACTTTATCTCAAAGACACTTCACCTTTATCCATTTATCGGAATGATTTGAGGAATCTCTGAATTCTAATAGCTTGAATGATCAAGTGGATGGGTCACGACGTATCTCTGGGACAATGTCACGGTTGCTCTCTCTCTCTTTTAATTGTTAAATGTAAAATTTCATAGATCAAAACTCGTTTACAAGTACACCAGAAATACTCGGATAATCAAAGATCAAGTACAAATACAATTACACTCGACATATCCAAACAGTCAAGAACCAAGTAAAGTACTACTACTTCAAGCATACTCGGGCAAATGGAAAGGAAAACAATGTACAAACGATAGGCACTAAGGTCCCAAAGCTAAAGATTCAAAATGAATCAAAACATGTAGGTACAAAGCAAACATGATTTTGTACACGTGTGTTTTAATTCACCTAACAATGCTATCCACATGCGGACTTAGTTCCTCAAAAATCTACCTATTCCGTGCCATCTAAATATGGTAAGCAGTGCTTGCAAGTGAAATTCTTTTGGATTTACTTTGCCAAGATGTCCCTCGGACCTCTATCTTGATCCACTTCAAAGCACTCAGATAGTAGTCATTGTTCTTCTAATCCCTATCCAAGCTTTGATCTTCATCCATATGCTAGAGGTGAAAGAGCATTGGAATGTACACGTTGTCTTGTTTCCAAGTGTGTTCCACAAAAAAACACAATTCTTATCAATGTTGAGATATGACAATTGATCCTTGGTGAGTAGCTTCGATTGGACACCCAACCATAAGATAAAAGCATGTTTTGGAGTAATGAAAGATCTCTAAACCTCCCTCGCCATACCTTCTTGTCTCCCTTCGACCAAAAATGCTCATAAGCGTCCCGAACGCAAAACTGGCCAGCTTTACTCTAGCTGGATAGCACGTTTCTAGCTGTTTGGGCAGTCTCAGAAATTCCATTAATGCTATATCTGATTTTCAGCAATCTTTTGAGCAACGAGGAGTCATTTATCCTTTCGGTGTACCCCAAAAAATCCTTTCCTTGAAGGTATACTTAGGTAACCCTTTTAACCCATAAAGTGTCCTTCTTAGCATGATTATTTTGAAGGACTTTGGCTAAAAAAGCTGAATTCCAACTTTTGATATCTCTAAAACCAAGCCCATCCTCTTCCTTCGATGAACAAATGGTACTCAAAACAACAAACGATTTTTTAGTACCCCAAAGAAAATCACGACAAAACTTAATAATCCTTTGGGACTAAGTAAGGTCGTCTACTTGGCTGCTCTAAACTAATGAAACCTAGTCCTATTTGGCCTGCATTAAATTAAATTTTATTTTTATCTCTTATTTTTTAACCACAAAATATTCTATAAAATAACATTACACGTAAATCAATTTTTTTTTCTTTTGCAACCATCAATTCTTTAAAAAAGGAAAAAAAAGAAAAAAACATATTCCACCTATTAAAATTCGAAATAATGGGGGCTTAATGAGCTGTGTTCGAGCTTACTTAGGTATGGTAGTGAAGGGTACGTCACTTAGCCATTCATGGTAATGACTGATAAACTAATTTTTATTTTTTATTTTCAAAATCATTTTCAATCATGTATTTTTCCAATAAAAAAATTTACATGTAAATCGAAGATTTTTTACTTCATAATCACACAATCTCTAAAAACTCACTATTAGTCCATTACATAACACCCTCCCCCCGGGCCAGAATGCCCCCTTTCGTGCCTATCTCACTTGTTTACAGCTCTTATTGGTCTTTTCTTTTAGCGCTACTTTCACATGATGCAATATCTAGGCTTTCTAGACCTGCTCTCTCGCCCAAAAGTGAAAGAACCCCTAACATAATTCGAATGGAGGCTGAGCCCACTCTGGCCTAGCAGGGCAGGCCTCTGTGGTTGCGAGCTGGAGCTGCCATAGCTTATGGCTAGAGCAATGGGAGGGCCCCAGCAGAGATAAAAGTCAAGATAACGAGTGCTCCGCCTGCTTGGCGGGCGGTAGGAGCTGTGGGCAAGTGCTTGATAGGCCAACAGCCCAGTGACCTGGGCAAGGCACTCGAAGAAAGGGGCACACTAATCAAGTATGAGAAATTGGCCCCGCGGAGCTTTCTTAAAAGCAAGGACCACTATGGGAGGTCAAACCAAGGACCTAAGAAAGTCGAGGATCGTCCCTGGTCAATATTGGATCAAACAATAGGGGGCCGTAGCATTAACCCTTTTTTTATTGATTTAATACAGTAGGGGAAAAGATCATACAGTTCCCTACCGAGACAAACACTCAACGGATCCTCTGCGCGCTGGGCATACCTCTTCCGTGCGTCTTTCTCGTGGAGAGAATAGAAGAACAGGGAAAGACTCAGCCGGACATGTCACTTGGCAGGAGTAACATGAAGCTCAGAATTAGGGGTGTAGTCAAGGAGGTAACTCCCGAGGAGAGTGATTTAGCCCATAGAAGCGAGGATCTGGAAAAGAGGGTTGATATTGGGTCAATTATGGCAGTGACTGAGGGGGACTTGTTTTGTGATAAACAAATGACCCACTGATGAAGAACCTTAGGCTTTACGAGTTAGCTGTCTATTCATGTAAGAAGATGTTATTCTGCTTCAGAGACTCCTTGAATCTACTCCCGGCAAACTTGACACCTTGGCTAAGAGTCTATGCTCGGGTCTAGGAGCGAAAGGCTCTGTCCCATATGATGAGGTTACATTGTCAAATGTGGTAAGTATGAGAAAAGGCTTGTTAGACAGCTTGAAAACTTTCTTTTTTTGTTGCATTTCCACCAGAAAGGAAAAAAGGTGAGGAGGAGCCTCTACCGTGGAAACAATCTACATTTATATTAGTCCGAAAGTAACTACTTGAATTTAAGGGATTGGACCTAGAGCAAGGAAAAGAGGACATGCATGTTCTAGTTCTGGTTACAGAGCTAGCGCCAGTGCCAATTTGTGGAAGTGGAATTAGTGAACAAGCGAGAAAAAGGAGGGCAACATGGGGAGAAAGGATCACGGGATTAGTGACCTCTTATAAGGACTATACTCGTTATGTAAGCGATAATTATCGATTCCCTAACCCTAGGGAATGTTGGAAAGCTCATGAGCAAACGTTCAACAGGCAGTCTCACGATCGGGCACTCATGCCCGAAAGTTGTCATTGTATACTCCCATGGGTTTGATTTGCCCTTTGAGCTCATCTTTGTGGTCTGTCTGTCCTTTATCTCGTGCTAGTTAGCTCATCCCTTGTAACGAATTACTTTTATTTTCATTCAATATCCCATGCCCACCAAAACCAGAGTACTCGTTTGTGTGTCCTCAATATCAGAGCCCACTCTCTTCACTGTTTCCTTGGCTCACTCTTTGAGCTGGTTCTATTTTGGAGCCAGACAGCTCAATTCTAGATTGTCTACCCCAAGAAGCATTGTATCTTCTCTCTCGATTCTAGCTTTAGCTTGTTAGGACAACCATAGTTGTCTTGTCTCATAGTGCGAAACAACAGTAGAGCTCGCCTGTTAAATGCATGCTCCTATCCACGAGCTCATGGAGATTTATCTTTTATAGAAGCGTTGCGCTTTATCTGGCGAAATGAGATGCTTCACCAGCAGAACTTCATGGTACCGGCGAACCCTCATAATCTTATAATTCAAAAAACTACAGAAGATGAAGAGATTTTGAGGAAGACTTGCATCTTAAAGAATGGAAATCAAGTGCTGATAAATTGGATTCCTCCGGATGCCCAGGATATAAGAATAAATGTTGACGGCGCTTCGAATGGAAAACTGGCCCAAGAGTCTCACAAACTCTTCAAGACCTCTGATTCAAATCCGATCGACTAGATCCGATCACATGATAAAAAACTATTCATGAAGAAGAAGAAGTTCCAGCCTATTTAATTTTTTTAATGATAAGGAAGCGCTGGATCAGAGCCTTTTAGGGGCAGCGAGTTCGTGGGATCAAAGTGGACGTTCCCGATTTCCATGGCCGATTGCATCCCGAGGACCTTTATGTATGAGCCGAAAATGAGGTATCCATAGATACCAACCAAACTAGCTAGTCAGGGAAGGTAGGTAAGTCAGAGGTGGATCTAGGGAGTCTTTACTTCTTCAACTTCTTATTCATCACACGATACCCGACCACCCATAGCCCAATAGTACCCATTCCTTGGAAAAGAGAAAGACGGCAGAACATATTTCGTGAGAAAATCAACTTCCAAAAAAGGAGCCAGAAAGCTAGGGACAATACCTTATATTGCCGCTCGCTCTTGGCAGGACAAAGCAAATGCGTAACATAAGTCGTTTGGTAGAATACCATATGCTCTAAAAAGCAATCCGTATGATGAACTGAATCACCTATCGAATTACGCCAAGGTTGGTAAGGAAAAAGAAAGAAAATCTCTTATATACAATAGCACCGCCTCTTAAGCTGTCTACATAAGGAGTCTGGCCTTTGGTCGGCGAAGTCACTCACAAAGGAGAAAGGGCAACCCCTCGTCCTGCGCAATTGCACGGAAAATTATAATCGAAATCCTTTTTATCTGGCATTAACTTTGATTTCGTTTTGCTTCTTCCGATCATCGAGCCTGATCGACTCGACTCTTTTCCCTGACCCCGACCTCTCACTTTGTTTTGTTCTTCTTCTATACCAAGTGACCCCTGGGAAGAGGGGTCACAAGCATAGGAACGTACTCACTCAGGAGCTGGTGACCATGAGGCCCCCTGTGAGCCCCAAAAGGTTTTGGGTAAGCAAAATTTATGCGAGTTGTTGGAATCCGCTTTGTGCAAAGTTTCCCTGCATTTTTAACAGATATATTATCGGCTGGCAACGCTTGGCCCAAGATTGGATTTGTTTGAAAACAACCAAGGTGGCGTTCATTCGGTTTACTCTTCCTTTTCGAAATCCGAAGAAGTGCTCGTGATCCTCCTGTCAATAGTTAAATCAATTATTTC